TTATTCGCTGTAGCTAATCCGGGCTTGAGGAAACCACGCGGAGGTCAATAAATGACGTGGAGACGAGTCATAAAGAAATGCACAGAGCCATTAGGTAGAGTAGGTGTCTCTCGCCTTCCAGGTTGGGGTCCGAAAGACTCCACAACTGGTTGATTGGAGATACTGAAGGATATGGCAGCGAAGCGGCAGCAGTGGCGTTCTTGTTGCCGTTTCTTATCAGGTCAAAATGCTTGAAACGGTGTGTATGCAGAGTTCGATTGCGCACTGTGTGTTGACCATAGTGACTCACCTTTCTCTCCCACCCTCAAAAGAGATCCAGTCCTTGTCCACATTAAATTTTACCACTAACCTTGTTAGCATTGCGAGTTTGGCAGCGATCAGCGAAGTTCGCTTCACTGTATTTCGCTGTACGATGATGATGATGATGGAAAACGAAGTTGAGAAAAAGTAGTGCAGGTCCCGTTGACTTCTGATGCGAAAGAGCCGTAAGCCTGAACTTGCCAGTGCAGTGGAGTTGAATGTCACTTTTAGATCCAATAAGATAGGAATGGCGGAGCTACCAGAGGTACGCCCGTGTTGAACAATTTTTCCTAGGATGGGAACATTTTGGACGCAGTCTCGACTAGGTTTATAAGAATCGGGTTATCACGTGTGCGGCAGTCAGTTAATTGAGTGTGATACCACTGTCACGGCGGCGTTGCTCACTGTAATTCACAAGCCGTCGGTCTTTTTCATTACCCTACATAGGCCTGGTTTCCTTGGAACTGTATATTTGACTAGACTGTGGCGGTTACCGAAGTCTACCTTTTGCCACCCATCACTTCTAGCATCCATTTCTTAGGCCCTTGAGGAGCTGGTGTTCAAGGGACGTGGGCGCATTTTCAAAGTTGGCATTCAGGAGAGCGGCTCTAAAGACGTCCAATAATAAATCTTAGAGAAAATCTATTGTTCGTTTCGGTGGCGAGTTCGAATCGAACATTGTTTTAACGGATACTTGGATTACTTCCTTGGTCTATGAGCTCTTTAATGAGCGGTTTTGCAGTCGCCGCTTAGATTCTACCGTTGGAATCCCTTTCCGGCGGCTTTTGTGGTTAAAACTGGTGCTCGACTTCTTCAATTGTTTCTGTCTAGTACCAACTTAGGATAACTCCCAACAGACAACAACTTCTTACTACAGTTCAGCAGGCACAATAACTCAAATTTTCTATACTACAATAAACCATCGTTGGCGTGACTCAATGCGAAATTGCAGGTTGTGTTGAACCTCACACATTGAGTCGTGTTACACTATTCTTGACGCGCCTTACACTATGGCACATTGTCAGCTAGCAAACAGTTCACCATGGTGGGAACTAAGCTTATTTCCATGATGGCTTGCGCAGGAAAGTCGAAAGTAGAGTCAAAAAGAAAATGGAGAATTTCAGTAGACTAAGTTTGCACAGAAATTGAAATGCACAAACACCATGGTTTGCGACACAGCTATANTACCACTTAGTGTCTCTAACCATCGGTTACGATCATCCCGAGGTCTTGGTCGGACCGTCCTTGGCATTATTCCACCCACCACCTGCCTCGGCAGACTGCTCGCCGTAGCAGCTTATTTGGTGACATGCGTAATCTGTGGATGTCAATCACTTCCTTCAGTGGGCGATCGCACTTACACAAAACTCTGCGCCCAACCTCAGCATTGCTCGTCCGGCTGACCCGCCTGGTTCGTTCAGACACCGACAGTTTATCTTTATCCTGTTTTCCTTATGGCTTCTCCAAGGGCGTGTATGAATAGAGAAAAGACGCCAGGTGCCCAAGCAGCTGGCTTTGTCTGGCCTCCCGACTTTGACCTTTCGGGTATGATTGGATCTGCGGCTGTGAAAAGCCATTCTGTGTAGCTCGCAGGGTCATGAAGGCGTTCAGACCATTACACTACGTCAAAGTGCAGTCTCGTGGTGATGGTTCATTTGGTGTAGTTGAATAAAAGAGTCTATTGTTGTTTTGCCAAATCTATGAAGCAGTATATAGCTGCGTCCGAACATATGTATACTGTATTCAATGCAATTTTCAAAAAGCAGTACCGAAAGCAAGACCGGGATAAAACTGCTAACAACTCATCATTCTGGATAGCCTCGGGTTAAGCACAGCTGAATGCTACCAGGTGAGTCCCCGGGTTGTGGATAGGGAGGATACCTTCACCGAAGAAGGTTAGCTGTGAATAAGTTGTGGCATACCGCAGCAAATAAGCAGTTGCGAACGAACAGCGGTAGCACTACCAGAGTGTGGTGGGTTTCACGCTGGTCACCTGGCTCCTGTTTAAAAGCCGCATAAGCCCAATGACGGTATCGGAACAAACGTCGATGTGACTGGCGTTTAAAAACTAAAGTCAATGACCCCTTCACTTCCGAGGCGAGGGTTAACTTCCTTCTGCCTTGCAGTTCTCGCTTGATTGTGCAAAGGCTAGAGATGCACCCTCAAAATAAAAAATCGCCAAGTGAAGCTGAGGACGTTTCTCGCGCCAAACACCCAAAGAACTCCATGACCTTGTTCATGATCATGTCTGGAGCCATGTTATCCCTTCCAATGAGCCAGCCGCAGTAAACAAAGCTCATCATTGCTAACTCATCTAATGTGGGAAACCATTTACACAATTTGACTACATCGGGTTAAGGAAAATTGACGATCAGAGCCACTGCGTAATTAGGGAACTTAGTGACTGTTGCGTT